ACACCCTTGGCCCATCTCTCTTTTTCCAAACAAAAGGGTAAATTGTATTTTATGGAAGCTTCCAGAAGTGGCATTCTCCTTTTAAACAGACCACAGGGTCTCCCTGTACATTCAAATATGCTAAAAAATTTCAAAATTGGAAGTGCATATTTACTCACTTGAGTATTTTTTTTCATATTTGGCATCTTTGGTGATCAGTTTGGCCCCTGGAGGATCCTGGGGACCCCCAGAAAATTGCCCCCTCAATTGTAAGTTGGCCATCCTAATTTAAAATCTTTGCTTTCATTAAGTTTTAATATGTTACTATTCCTTTAAAAGAAGCTGACCAGAACTCTAGGTAAAGGAGCAGAAGGAGGGAATTGGGTATGATTTTTGCAGTAACTGTGTTTTCCCTGAAATGAAGCTAAATTTGTTTCAGTCTCTCTGGACTGGAATGTAATACAGGCACTCTAATCTCATACTAACCTTTTGCATTAGGGAACGGGACCTGGTCAGATCCTGTTTAATGGCCAGTCTGTCAATGCTACAATCCCAGCAGGTTCTTTGCTGTATTGTGGCCAGCAAGGGCCAATGCAGACACAATGTGATGCTGTAATATCCAGATAGCGTATGCAACTGGTATTATTTATATGTAGGGACTGATTCGCATCAGGACCAGAGCAAGGGCCTTGTATCCACTTACAACATGGGAAGAACTGCTCCCATTCACACCAGTGGATATATTTCTTCCAGGGCAACCAGTTGGCAGGGGAAGTGGGCAGCAAAGGGTTAAAGGCCATGTCTTTCTACACCAGCGTCCCAGTCTAGATCAGGCCTCCCACAACTGCCATCATTTTTTTTTCCTATTTACCTATTCGGTTGGAATCCTGTCTGGTTTGGCATTAGGCTACCTTTTGTACAGGCAGCCCAACACTCTGTCTGAAAAGAGATTTTATCTTGTCACATCCCAAATAAAAATAGTTAAGGGAGGGCATGCAGACTAGTGACAGAACACATACTATATGTAAAAGATCCCAGGTTAAAAGGATATGTTAACCGGTAATGAATGAGAAAGGCACTTTGCCGGAGACCCTGGAGAGCCACCATCAGTCAAAGCAAACAATACAGCCGTGGGTCGAAAAATAGTCTGGTCAGTTTAGGCATTGCTGTTTATTTCCACCTGCCTGGTTAGGAGCAAAGACCTCCAAGCAAGCCCCAGTACTCCACACCAACAGTGAAGTGCAGCAAAGAAAGGAAGCCCCCCCCCAAATTCCAGTTTCTCCCAGTAGGGCCAGAAGACCAATATTTATTTATTTATTTTATTTATATCCCGCCTATCTAGTCAACACAGGAACACTCTAGGCAGCTAACAATCAGAAAATAATAAAAGTAAACATATATAACACAGCATAAATAATAAAAACCTTACGAAGATAGAAAACCAGTGGAGGGGGAAAGAAGAAGGAATGTCAGGAATTGATTGGCAGGAAGGCCTGCCAAAACATCCATGTCTTCAATTGATTTTTGAAGATACTCAGCAAGGGAGCCCCGCGAATCCCCGGCGGTAGATTATTCCAGAGGCGAGGAGCCACTGCCGAGAAGGCCCGATTTCTTGTCTTCTCCTTCCGGGCCTCCCTCGGCGTTAGGCTCCTCAGCCTCACCTCCTGGCTCGCACGAGTGACATGGGTAGATCTTGGTGGGAGTAGGTATTCCACCAAGTATCGAGGCCCTAAACCATTTAGGGCTTTATACGTAAGCGTCAACACTTTGAAGTCAATGCAGAATCGGATGGGCAGCCAATGCAATGCGGCCAGAGTGGGCGAAATATGTTGGTATTTTTTCGCTCCACTGAGTAATCTGGCCGCCGCATTCTGCACCACCTGTAGTTTCGTGGTGTCTTTCTCATTGCACAAGGCTGTATTCCCAAGAGAATTGACAAGATTGAGGAGAAAGAACAGGGTTAAACTCACTCTGCAGTTCTATTAATACAGTTTTGTGTCCGTCTTCTTTTCTTTCCCCACCTTTAGTACAGAGCACATACTGTAAAGTTAAGCAAAGTTAAAGCTTGTATGGTTCTGATGACGTTGCCTAGTTTGATGCATCTGACGATTGCAGCACATGAAAACTAGTGCCAAGTCAACTTAAGTCTTCCTCGTTCCAGTGATTTCATTGTTTTTATTGCATAATTTGTACAGGATGCAGAATTTTGCTTCACTTGGCCCAGAGCTAGACTTTTTTTTTTGTTTCCTGCCTCTAATAAGTGCAAGCTGGCGGATAGCACAGTAGTTTAGATATCTGGCTGCTGAGCCAAAGGTTGGGAGTTCAATTCCCCCACTGTGCTTCCTGCAAGCAGAGCCAACCTACGTGGCCTTGGGCAAACTGTTTAGTCCCAGAGGCACCCCAGAAGGGGGGGGAGTGGGAAACCACTTCTGGAAACTCTATACCTAGGAAACCCTGGAAAGAGTTGCTTTGAATCTGAATTGACTTGATGGCACAAAATTATTATTACTATTATTATCAATAAGTGCAAAGTAAACTATGATTGTCCCCCTGCTTATTTAACTTATATGCAGAATACATCATGCGAAAGGCTGGACTGGAGGAATCTCAAGCCGGAATTAAGATTGCTGGAAGAAATACCAACACCCTCCGATATGCAGATGATACCACTCTGATGGCAGAAAGTGAGGAGGAATCAAATAACCTCTTAATGAGGGTGAAAGATGAGAACGCCTAAAATGGTCTGAAGCTCAACATCAATAAACTGAGATCATGGCCACTGGTCCCATCACCTCCTGTCAAATGGAAGGGGAAGATATGGAGGCAGTGACAAATTTTACTTTCTTGGGCTCCATGATCACTGCAGATGGGGACAGCAGATATGAAATTAAAAGACGCCTACTTCTTGGAAGGACAGTGATGACAAAGCTAGACAGCATCTTAAAAAGCAGAGACATCACCTTGCTGACAAAGGTCCTCATAGTCAACGCTATGTTTTTTTCAGTAGCAATGTATGGAAGTGAGAGCTGGACCATAAAGAAGGCTGACCACCAAAGAACTGATGTTTTTGAATTGTGGTGCTGGAGGAGAATCTTGAGAGTCCCCTGGCCTGCAAAGAGAACAAATATCCATTTTGAAGGAAATCAACCCTGAGTGCTCACTCGAAGGACAGAACCTGAAGCTGAGGCTCCAATACTTTGGCCATCTCATGAGAAGAGAAGACTCCCTGGAAAAGACCCTGATGTTGGGAAAGTGTGAAGGCAAGAGGAGAAGGGGACGACAGAGAACGGGATAGCTGGACAGTGTCATCGAAGCGACCAACATGAATTTGACCCAACTCTGGGAGGCAGTGGAAGACAGGAGGGCCTGGCGTGCTCTGGTCCATGGGGTCACGAAGAGTTGGACACAACTTAACGACTAAACAACAACGAAGAAACTATTATCTTCATATAAACTTCTCACACCATTGCTCTAAAATGAGTTTGAACTTTCCAGTTCTGCCTGAGCACATGAAAGAAAAGTTACAAATCACACAAATCCTACAAATCTTAAAACAAGTAATTGCATGGGGCAACTAACAATTAGCACCACTTCCATGCCTGCAGGGCCCAGTATAGTATCACACTCAGAGATAGGAGAAGTTTTATTCTTGAAGGCTTTCACAGCCAGAATCTGATGGTTGTTGTAGGTTTTTCGGGCTAAAGATCACAGCCAGACAACCCGAAAAACCTACAACAACCATAGGAGAAGTTGTTTTCCAATGTGGCCATGCTGGGCGGTGGGTTCTGGGGGCCGTACTCCAAAAAAGGTATCTTCTCCACACTTTGATTATACTGGGCTGCAGTGAGCATTCTGCAGGTCTCAGTAACATACTGGGACACAGGCAATATTACGCCCATTCTGCTCCTTCCCACCCTCCCCCATTTCCCACTTACATGTTCTAGGACATTAGCAGGAAGAGGTCAGCAGGGGTCTATATCACGGGGGGGGGGAACTCTCCAGAAGTTGAAGGATCACAACTCCCATCAGCCCCAGCCAGCATAGCCAGTGGGGAAGAGAAAATGGAAACTGGAGTCCAACCACGTCTGGAGGGCCATGTATTCCATGTCACTCATTTATATGAGGAATCGCGCAGTAATCATTATGGAAAGGTAGCACTGGAGGTTGCACTGCCAGGCATGGGACTCTATCCACCAGCAGGATGGCTCAACAGAACAAAATCCACTTCATATATTGCAGGGCCTCTCTCTCCCTCTCCCCCTCTCTTGCACACATACATACTTCCAGTCCCCTATTTGATAGAAATTTGGATGATCCTCTTCACAAGGTTGCAGTTAAGGCAGAAGCAACTACAGGAGGAAAGGGTGGGGGAATTCAAGGAGCACATCTTTCAAGGACCAGCCCAACATTAACAGGTCTACCAAACAAATGACAACGATACTGTCTTTCTCCCTTCCAGCCCTTCCTACAGGCTAGTGCCATCCAACACCTGCACAAATCCTATCACAGAACCGCATTCCTAGAATACAGAGACAGACATGAGCTCCCTTTTCTGCCGCCCACCCGCCCACCTCCCAATTCTGCTCTGACCCACGGCAGCCATAGATCGGTGGCTCGGAAAGAGGGACAGGAAGGGCTCTCATCTCTTCAACCAGATTCTCGGGACGGAATCCGTAGAGATCTGTTTCTCCCCGCCCGCTCGCCCGCCCGCCAGCAACAGGATCCACGGCGGGAGGAAC